AACAGAATCCACTCAGAAGTACACATGAAATGTATACGTCAAATGAATTGTGTGGTCAGGCATGGAATCTATATGTACCCATATTAAGTATGTGTTCAACACATAGATATCATTTGTTGATCACATTGCAACAATTCATGTGTGGGACACATAAAACAATATTTGAAATTTTGTTAGCGTTCAATGTTGGTTCAAGTATTTTTCCTGGAAGGTAATAAATTGTGAAAATTTAAATGTGCGCTCCTAAACAAGCCGTTATACATTTTAGCGTAGAAAGGGCTATTTGAATTTACATTATATGCAATTAAATTTTAAAATCAACTCTTTTAATTTTATTTGTGGCCATTTGATATTGTTGTTCCGAAAGAACCGTTGAGTGATTTTGATGATATTTGTCCCTCCTAATCATCGTGATCGTTGAAGTCCATGTCTTTTTCGGGTTGTCGTTATAGGGCGTGGAGTGGGGGGTGTTTTGCATATATAACTTTTCCGCGTTTCGTTTTAGTTAAACGGGAACCAAGTCTCATTCCAGCCCATCGCTGGTTGTAAGAAGGTGATCACGCCGTGATCCACCTTTATCCGCTGACTTGCTCCTGATTGCTGCAGGACCAAGTGCCACGCCGTCCGAAGTGGTAATGAGCAGAGGCACGAAAGCAACGCTGTTTTATATTTTTTCAGGTTCAAGCAGAACGACGTGCAACCAAGTGGTACTCGATTATGACGACTGGGTTTGGGGAAAACGTTTATTTCATGAAACAGAGATAAAATATCATTTGTACATGTTTCAAACGTTTGTTTTTGGAAAACTGAAGAAAAAATATTTATTTCAGCAGATTTGTAATGTAATATCCTTTCGATTGGCGTATTTAGATTTTATTTTCATCTATAAATGGCAAAATTATAAGCGTTCGAAACCTAACAATATTTCACCACACATATTTTTTTATTTGCACCCCAGTATACTCGACAAAGACGTAGTTCTACGTAAAAAAAACTCTGTCAATAGCGGATTTAATTCTATTAAGGACCGTTTTGTCGTGATGGTCGATTTTGAAATCTGTGTTAGGGAAAGCGCTTTTTGCAGGCAATCGCTGATAATTTTAATTATCATAGCAACAGTTGCACATTCGGGAAATTTTCAATAGTGACTTTTTGATAATTTATATAGTCTTAATTTTAACAGATTCGTAGAAAACAAATTCCTATAGATTGGCGTATTAAGAATTAAAATCCATCATCTCTGGATCAAAATCTGATCAGTTTCATGCCGCCACTGACTTTGTTTTTTGAAATAGCATCCCCAATGTTGCCTTAAAGTTCAATTTACTTTGATGCATTTTCGAAAAAATCGAATGCAGTCTTATTCGATGCATCATTTCAGATTGCAATAAACTCGCGTCATTTTGTGTAAAATAGCAAAAAGAATAGAATGACGCGAGCTTTCTGCAATCTAAAATGATGCGTCGAAAAAACCACATTTGAATTTTTCGAAAATGCATCAAAGTAAATTGAACCTTAAAACTACATGGTATGTTAGATTTAAACTTATGGGAACTGACATCCGATTAATTATCTCCACAAATGTTCAGAAAATACCCTTTAACAAAATTATGGTGGTCCTGAAAACGACCGTTTTGATTGAGTAATGCTGAGCTATTAGGGTGTTCAACACAGATTAGGCTGACAAGCCGGAACGAGGGTGACGCGCTTGGCATAAAAGGCCCACAGCGGCTCACTGAATCCGATCAGTAGCGGTGCAGCTTCTTCCTCCTTCTTTGGTGAATGGACGGTCATGTGGGCTGTGCTAGCTGCTTGCGAGCAGCCTTTCGTTGTGTACTGGAGAACAATGTTCAACACCACGCGCCAAAAACACTGCTGCTGCTGCTCCTGCTGACGACCGACCGGACATCACCACACACGGTGATAGAATAAGCACCGTTCAGTTAGACCAGATGGAATTCAATTTTGAAATCTGTGTTAGGGAAAGTGGTTTTTGAAGGCAATCGCTGATTATTTTGATCACCATTGAAACAGTTGGACATTTGTGTATTTTTCAATAGTGACCTATTGAAAATTAATAAAGTGTTCAATTTAGCAGATTTGTAGCAAAATTTCTAATCTATTCGCTTGTTTTGAATTAAAATCCATCCGCTATTGACAGAGTTATATTTGTTTAAAACCTGACCACTTTTCGTAATGCGATCGATTTTTTTTTTTTGAAATTGACCCCCTCCCCCATATTTGTTGCCGAAAAACGTAATACTACGTCAAAAATTACCTGTGTTTAGGTTATGGCAAAACATAGCAGCGCCCAGGATGGAAATCTTTCACGTTGACCTAATGCACTATTGTAGGTGCTCTGGATGCAAGAGTGTGTGAGTTATGTACATCCATAAAAAGTCAAAAAGTCATTTTTGATAAACAGACTATGTTAAAAAATAAGTTTCAAAAACTAGACGTACTGATATCAGCGGTTGAAGTCGTTTCATTTCTAAATGTGACCAAGCACGTTCATACAAATAATACTATCAAATCCACGAATTATTATCATTGTCATCAGGTTAGTAAAATGTTGTGTGCATGAATGTTTCATTCCAAAAGAATGCTTCAAAAGTTTAGCGAAAGTCATTATCTTGATATGTTGGTATCCAAACGTGATACCCAAAACAGATTACTTATCCGGAAATGCACTTACAGTTCAACTATGGGGAAACTATACCAAGCCTGCGTTCCACCCTTCCCTTGGCAGAAGGGTGAGGTAACAAAGAATCGAAATCAACTGTACAGCCCGCGAGCACCAAAGTGCAGGACAGGAAAAACGTATAAATCCATTTTAAATATGTGAACTTTTCCATCCGTCTCAAAGTAACTAACAGATGGAGGAACGAAGCAAAAACAGCTAACGAAAGGGGACAGCAATCGAAAAGGATTGCATTTTCTACTGGTGTCCTCCATGCCCTGCCCACAGCCTTGAGCTCTAGCAACAGCACCGTCTTCTCGCATCCCCTTCCTCCAAGACCGGCTCTCATTGCGATGTCTTGACAAACGACATAAAGAGGAACTTCGGCTGATTGAAAACAAAGTGCATGAGACCGGGCCCCCATGAATGAATGTATGCTGCCAGAGCTCAGTATATGTGTGTGATTGTATTCCAAGAGTCGGAAATGGAAATTGGATCTGAAATGCACTTAACGAAACGATTCGCCATCCATATATTGTACGTGGAGTTGTTGGACGGACTGACTGGGTCGCTTGCCAAATAATATCGAAATGGATTTAGTCAACAACATTTGAACGATTTGTTTAAATTGTTTTGTCTCTGTAATATTGATTGGGTATGAGGAATATTGGCAATGCATACGAAATGTGCAAATCTGACGAGTGAATAGAAGTATGTATAGCAAAAACAATTCTGGTTCTTTTCAGAACACTATAGTAAAATCCATGTTGCATTTTGAGTGAATGCAGGTAGAATTCTTAAGTATTGGAATAGAGTCCCATTTTCACATCGAAAGATGCTGGATCGCTTTGAAAATGTTAACAATATCAATTATCAATCAGTTATCAATAGGTGCTTCTATGCGAAATTGTTTTCGATTTAATAGGACTATACTTTAGCGAAGACTACAAATGAAGAAGACTGGAAACTCTGCCAAAAATCAGGAGACAGTAACGGCAACGCCTCTTCTGAGCAAAAGTGGAACCTGGTTATGATGGTGTGTGTAAATTCACGAGTGCATTCAAACACATAGAAATAAATAGCTGTCAATTATTGGTTTTGTTATGATTGTCGTAAAAAGTGAAACGTTTCTTTCTTTGCTTTATGCTGACAACGAGTAAAATTTCAGCTAAAATTGAATAGATGCATAAGTATTTTTTTTTTGAAAATTAAAACTATGGCAATGATGCCATTAGCAATGGGATCTTCCTCGATCATTAATTTGCTATCTCAAAATTATCAAGCCCTTGCATCACTTTTGGGCATTTGCATTATGTGCATTAGTAAGATGCATGCCCGTTCCGCACGGCTTTGGCACCTGGCCACTGGGCCTGGGCAGTTAAATTGTCCACATTCTGTACATAAAATAACCCAATAAGCTTAAGGATTGATGCCATCCAAACTCATTCAATATGGTTTATTATCCTAAAAGCATCCTACTACTTACTCATCGTCAATCAGCCTTTCCAGGATTGTGCTCTCAACGACCATTTGCAGGAGTGGCACCAGACCAGTGGCTTTACATCCACCTTGGACACTCAACTCAACCAATAGAATTGGCGCTGGGGATCGAGTTATCTCAACTCTGGCAATACATCACAATATTTATCCGTTAAATTATATCATCGATTACAAATCAACTGCATAGAAATGCTTTTAAGAATATTACTTATATATATGTTCAGGGATGAAGAAGGCGGGGATGATGGAACTCGAAGAGAAAGTTTTTTCCATCCTCTGCAGGACACACCTGAGGGAAAACCAAGCTGAAAGCGAATGAGACGCCGTGGGACGGTGGGGGTGTGATTTAGGTGCGATGGACAGCTTTTTTCGCTCCATCTCCTTCATTGCTAACTCTTTCGACTATTTTTTTTCCCTCGTCTGTCTGTCTTCCCTAGGAAGGGCTAATACAATTGTGGTTGCTTTCATGAATATGTATCCTCTTGGCGATTTTGGATCCTAATGCGTTCGATCCATCATTTTGTGGAGTTTGGACAAATTGGGAAGTGGCTTTTACTTCTATTTACGTGATGAGTGTTTGCTTGAGTATTTGATGATTCATTGTTCGGAATTGCTTGATTTATATGCAATTCACTATTATCAGATTGATTGAATTCAATAATGTGCCGGACATCAACTTACATACAAAAAAGGAGATAATGGAGTCTTATTGGAATCACAAATTAAGTATAAGGTGAAAATCGTTCCTTGGAAAGCTTTTTACGGATAGCATATAAGAAGTAATGTGCTCAATTAAAAAAATCCATTATAGAACACTTACCAGCAACATTTTCAGTGCTGTGCATTCCTGACACTGGACGCTTGACGTCACCGAAGCTTAAGTTTTTCACAGGAGGCTCATGTCCAGCCCCTCGGCGTTTCGGTGTCCCATGGGTGCCCAGTTTGCTGGAAATCAACAAGAGAAAAAAAAGAATATTAATATTTGCTTAATCGATGAATGCAGAAAAAACGACTCATCCCGCTGAACTGCATCTACTTTCATTGACCAATTAATGCTTGATGAGAGTGAAAAATATGGTTGGACAAGCACCAAATTAACATACCACCGCTGGCAGTTGATGGTTCATTGGAAACTGACGGAACGAAATTAATTTAAAATAATTATTACCATTCAATTAATATTATTCTCAACAAGCCACACGTTCGATGTGGAATAATATTACACTTTGAGAAGAGGATGGCTGAAATAAATTATGTTTGCTTGATGTTCTATCGGAAATCATTTTTCAGCAATCCTCATTCACTCTCTTGTTTCCCCCCTGAAGAACGTTGCAGCCAAAAAAATGCCAGATATTAATTGGTAAATAATATTTTAATTGAAGCCTGCCCATTTCATCCTATAATAGATGATGCTTCATTTATTTTAATTCCAGTGAACGAAAAGAGTCAACTTTTTGATGATTATATTATATTGTTTTAAGGTATGTTCTTGTGATTGTTATTTCTCCACGGTTGACTGTTTCACTAACATAAAATGATGTAACCGATTTAGTTTGATTTCTAGTCATGGACTTATTGTTATTCATATTTCAATTCCAAAAATATCTGTTCGAAAACAGCCTTCATCGTAGTCGTAATAGCTCAGATGAAGTCTATTATTAAGCAAATATGTGATTTTGAATCGATATTGATAAATTTTGTCAAACAAAGTGACGCATGTCATGCAAACATCTCTTTGATGAATTGTTGATGATGAAAATGTTGAAAAATATTGATCCAAATTTTTCAAACGTTGTATTTTTAAATGCTAAAATGTGAAATTTTTTCTGGTGAATACGTTACTTTGCCTTCAGATGGAGCTGCTATTGGTAAGCATAATGCACATAGAATCTGGATGCAATGAATCAGCTCTATCTCGCAAGAAAAATGTTAAGTAGTCAAATTATACCTTTTGATGTGCAGTTTCATAAAAAATGTCAGGCTCATGAAAAAATCTCGTGTTAATTAAATTGACAATATATTATTTGCACACTCTTCTGTCTAACCTCAGTAACCTCTATGCATGCACGAACTCACACCACTACGTCTGACGGTACAGCGCAAATCAAAACACTAAGCGGTCTCATCATTCATCGTCATCAGTCAGCTTCGGCAGCTTCCGTTTGCGTTTTCATTTACCGGCGTTTAAAAATACGCCGGTAAATGAAAACGCAAACTTACGTTAAAAATAGGAAAGTAATTCTTACGTTAAAAATAGGAAAGTAATAATTATTCCAACGTAATTGTGAATAGAATACGTGATGTGTTGGCCATGGAAGACAGCATATTTATTTCATTACGTTTGTTTAGCAATGGTTTCAGTCGCGCACGGAACCCCTTTGGATAAGGTTGTGTTTGTTCTCTGTTTTGTGCGTGCGTTCGCCTTCATAGTTTTCGGCTGCATTTGCTGGATTAGCGCTGGCACTCTGCCTCCCGGACGGTTATACGTGTGTGAGTGGTAGTTTTCTCGCTTTCCGAGAAGTTTTAGAATCGAGAAAGAAAACATGATTCATGATGTTTGCAAAATAACAAGCATCAGAAGGTGTGGCGCTGCGTGGTTTGATTGTTTCTCCCAGACCAGAAATGTGTGGCATCGCGAGTGAAAATTTTAATTTCAGTTTATGTATGCGCTGCAAGGTGCGTGTAAAGCTTGGCACGATTGGTGTTGATGTTGGTACACTTGCAACTATTTTAGCAAAAAATAAAAAAAAAATCAAAAGAAATTGATATCGAAAGTGTACCAAAAGTGCTTCTGAACGTGTTTCGCAGTTGGATGTGGTGAAATTCGTGGTTGTTTTCAGTGAAAATTCCGTATCACAAATTTGCTCACCGAGTTCCCTTTTTTTGCCGTTCGACGACATCGGGAATGCGCTCCCGGATATATTGATTTGGTGAGTACGTTCCAGTTGAGGATTGTTCTTGTACATTTCTCGATTGCATTTTCGAGGGGACGTGTCTGCTTTTGTGGGCAGTGCGTTTGATGGTCGGTTTGGTAGTATCCTTTTAAATATAATGTCTCATGTCCAAAGAACCTCGATTTTCGGTCTATTGATTCAATACTTTAGTATTATATTTTCAAAACATACAATGATGCATTATGTCATTTCACGGCACATAAAACAAAAAGTGTGTGTATAGGACCCAATAATCTAGGTTGTTTGTAATTTGTTAAACATCTTTATTTTTTATTATATTTTTCATTTTACTACAGATTTTATATACATTATATATTACATGATTATATATATAAAGTCATAATGTAAATTACAATAAATACTGGGACGGGAGGGAGCATCAGGGCATCATTGAAGTTGTAACTGGACAATGGAGTGGAGTGCCAACCGGAGTCTAGGAGGGAATGTGTACTGTCATTTTAGATAGTTACATTTCACTCCAACAGTTGCAATGAATTTGACGCGCTCTTCTTTAACAAACCATCCCGTGGAAAGCTTAACATGTATTGCGAATTTCGTTATTCATTTTGTTGGATCATATTGTTGGAAGGAGATTCTCTTATTCCCGCGGGTTTCGCGTAAGTGCCTCTGCTTACGGGCCCGTCCAACCCTTTTTGGCCCTTCATACAGCAGTATGTTGAATTCAGAATGATGACGGAATTTGATCTTGCTGTTGAGTGGAGCCGCATGCAGGGCAAGACCCAAGCTAGGATGGTGGCTACTTACATACATACATACTCTTCTGTCTAACCTCAGCATGTCTCAGTGGCTGCTAAAAGTTAACTGTTCAGCATCCTTGCCAGGTTTCTTCAACATCCGCTTGGATTGGGTGGAACTGGAGGCGATTGGATGGATTAATATATTTTTCGATAAAATCCACTCCGTTGACACGATACCACTAAAATATCTTCCAGTTGTTATGACATCTTCTCAAATCAGGCCAAAGCTTCACAAGTTCTTGGGATTTTTTGTGTGTTTCTTTCGATTTCATCGTCTTTTTTGTGGTGAAAATCTATGTATTTGCGGTCACAACTGCATCATCAGCCACACGACAGAAGTTTCGTCAATATTTCCATCAATATTTTCATCAATTTTTGCGTTAATATTTTTATCAATATTTTTCATCGTCATTGTCCTCTTTTTTCTCACACGAAAATCTTACTCAGTTGTGGGTCAAAAGGGACCATTTTCAGTCACTGAACTGCAACTGAGTAACATTTCTGTGAATGAAAAGAGAGGGCAATAAAATTCTACTCAGTCACTGAGTTGTATTGAAATAGAGTGTAGGGGTTGTGAGGTACACCATAAAATAGGCTGATTTCTGCTATATCGTATCCCTCATTCAGCAGTCAATCGAATGAACTTCGTGTTAATATCAACAAGAAGTAAAATGTCACCAAAATGGTGATATTTTTGTTTACTGTGTAGTGGTCAGCTGTCAACATGTGTTGTTACCGTTTGTAACATTTGTCTTTTTTGTACTATTGTTAGCTATATGTTTTCTGTATGTCCTTGTTAAAATTTAAATACTAGAATTGCCATTAAATATACCCGTAGGTTTAGTACACAATACACTACCACAGTACACTACCAACTGCTGGAACCTGAGTCGAAGTAATAGTTCAGTGGATAAATTAGAAGAAAACAACAAGAGAAGACCAACAGGAAAGGGATAAGTAATTTGCAAAGTTATGTACTCTTTCACTTACCAAGTAACCATAGAAGAGAGTAGAAGCGGATTAAATGTTAATAGTTGGTGAAAATTAAAGAAACCATTTGGAAAGTTGGAAAATAGAAATGAGGAAGTAAATTAAACATAATTAGAGTGTGAAAAGAAGAGGATCTGGACCCGAAAATCATAAACCGGAAACGAACTTCAGGGAAGGCTCCGATTAAGCTGTCTGGGACCATTCCGTCCTTTTAAGAGCCAACTTCGTTCTCCCACGAGAGATCTGGGCTGATCCTTGTTGCACTGATCAGGGGATTACCTAGTTATATACCCACGGACCCAGTTACGTCACCAATCGGGTTACCGGTGCCATAGTAGTGAGCAACTGAAACCTACTCTCGCCACGGCGCCCACTCACCACGGTAATTGTCGTCCTTCTCGAGCCCAGTCACCACCACGTTTCCCACCATCAAGCTAGCCATCATCATCAACATCACCACCACTACCACCCAGCGTTGTTCAGCAGTTGCCGGCCGGCCAGGTATAGTTTAAACGAACACACTACACACCACACACATACACACAGCATGTAAAATTTAGGGAATTAAGGAATTTAAATGTAAATCATTAGCTTTTTATTCTGTTACACCACACTATCCGAGTCCTGATTAGTCTAGTAAATCTACACCAGCCGACCTTGAGACTAAGTATAGTTATCCAGATCGAGCTAGCCATCACTGGTAGGCCGTTGCTTAGCCAAGCCCGCCGAGGTGTTTGTCTGGTAACCACCCTAGCAGCAACAGTGTTTGCATGCAAATCAGTTATCGCGCAGTTAGCGACCGATTTTTTCTATTGACTGGTGACGCTCGATAGATCAGGTATCTCGAGCAAATAATGTTCAATTGGCTTTTGAGTACCAAATACACTTTGAAAAGAACTGTATAAATATCTATATAGATGAACATATATGAGACATTTAAATTTTATAAGTTTATATTTTATTGTTTTTCAAGCGCACTTTACAAAATTAATGGAACCCAATACAAAACAATACGTCCAGATTTAAACTAAACATAACATGTTCTGTCTAAATCAGTTGGTTGCTTGCGACAAATCCTCGCACATCACATACATTGTTATTATAGTTAATGAGACACCATGCGTCTGCTTTGAAAACACATGTTAGAATTGTTAGAATTTAGAAAATTTGAGATTTTGGCGCAAAATGGCTCAAAATACCACTATGATTTTCGGAAACTTAACTAAAATCTACGTAATATGCA